AAATACACATATTTACTAAAACCTTTAGAAAATATTTTGGAATACCTTCATTAGTGACAGTCCCTCGTTGCCATTTCGAATGACTATCAATAAGCCGTTGTAGTATTGTATGTGCGATATCCTTTGTAGGCTTCATTTTGAGTAATAAACAAAGGATTTCTAACATTTTCAAATATTTATGTTGAGAAACTCAATAATTGAAATAGTATAAAATTAGTAATGAAAAATTTACCTGATGCTCTTGTATAAAATTCATGGTCAACATTCGGATGCAAAAACAATAAAAGAATAGATACAAATTCTTGAGTTTTCCATGACTTCAAGTAAGCGTAAATTACTATTGAACGGAAGGATAAAGTTCATGATCATACATCATAACCAAATATAAAATGTGAATAATTTAAATTTCAAACCTTCATCAGTTTGATACGAATAAGAAATATTCAGATAGTTATGCAATATTTCCAGGCATTTACGCAGAGCCCCATCTTCTGAATTCTTATCTTTTATAACATTAATAAACTAAACAATAATAACGAATAATTATTATAAAGACCATTGTATAATTTTAATAATGTAAGATATATGAATAATCACCTGTGGTAAAGCATCAAATCCATGACTTTTGCAAAATGAATGTACATCTTCTACTGAATCACGGTTGAGATATTGATATAATCTACCATAATAAATTGTGAATAATTCTGACATTTTTCTTGCAAATTTATACAAAGAAGATGCATGTTATATGCAATACCTTAGCATAAAATGTACTTTGCGCGTCAGAGGTGCAGAATTGGCTAAAGAAGTTATTATCGAATCCCAAGCTTTCATTCTAAAGGTTGGAGATGCGTCAGCACTAATTTTTAATAGCATTAGCAATTCCTCGGTTTTCTGTTAAGAATGCAATTAGTAAGAAAATCAGTATATCATAAGACCAGGTAAATTGAAGTGATAATGGCAAATAATCCTACGTGATCATCATAAAAATCTCCAAAAATCATGCTGCTAAGGGCCCAAAAGAAATTCTGTGCCTCCATCCATTTTTGATGATATTCGGGTGAAAGACGACATCCCATCAATATCAATCCATAATATTTTGGTAGAGTTGTCTGATTGTAGACAATATTTTCTGTCGTGTGATTAATGCTTAAGGAAATATATATTAACGGTTTGAGAGAATTAAAAGCGAAGAAACGAATATAACAAAGTTAATTTTGTGTACCTAACATAATACATATGAAGATGCGAAATTATGTCTTCATTTGAAATGAATAGCTGAACATTTTCAGGAAAATCTTCGCATACAGCGTGCCAAAATGTAATTAATTCCTAAACAAAACAAGTCAGAATTTAATAGTTGACTATAAAAATTACGCGAAATAAAAACATACCTTTTTGTCAATATCGGAATCAATTCTAACTTGATCCACAAGAATAAAGATTGTGCCCAATTTTTCCATATAAGGTTGAAACTATATGTTGTAATAAAAAAAAAAAGTAAATACATTAAATTAAAAAATGAATAAAAAAAAAAAAAAAACAAAGGAGCACACGAATAACTGTACAGTCTAACCATTAATTTTTCTTGAGACGATCTCACAAATTTCG